ATATTGGATTATAAATATATTTATATTTTCTAGTTTTTTATGATCTTGCCCATGAAAAAGATTATAGTACTTTGCTTCTATAAAAAAAAGGTATCATTATTACATCGCTACTAAATAAATCGCGATAATATTTATAATAATATATCAGAAAAATACAGCTGGCGAAGATATATTTAATATACAGCACTCGGCCAGTGTATTTGAATATGGCAAAACAAAGTTGGCAAGGATATATTTATGCTCCGGAATCATAAATATAGAGCCCAGCCAAAATGTTTCTTTGGCGAGGATATAATATAGAGCCCAGCTATTTACCACATCCATATCATTATTTGAATACATTTTTCATTTTTTTTTAAATACATAATAATTTCTTACCTTTGTCTTACTTGTATTATGTACTTTATTTTCATAAAAGTTGTGTATGCTTTTTTTCCAATCCGTAGTAAAGTTATTTACACAACCAAGAACAAACGCCAGTAAAATAAATTTATATAACATTATTTCTGCGCTATGTATCAACTTTCACAAGCTTCAGCCTTTTAAAAGCTTTATCAAGATCAATTTCCATTCTGAATTTGGTTAACGTTAATCATAATCCGATTGTGATATTTCTATTCTCAGTAACCCTGCATGATTTTTGCAAACAATCAAAAGTTTCACAAATAATTTTAGAGTATTTTATCAGGTTTTTTGTCCCTGAAGAAATAATATGACAGAGTGAAACCTGAGTTGTTATGTTACCTTTTGATGCATTTGATGCAGATCTTTATTTTTATAGGGGGTTCGCTAAAGCGGGGTAAATTCAATATAAGCATAGAGCAAGTTTGATTTTATTGGTTAAAAAAAAAATGATCGACATTTATGTTGATCAACTATGATCGTAATAAATAAATTTGATTTGTCATAACGATCAGTGGAAATGTCCCTTAATTTTTTGTGTAACATACTCTACTATAAGATTTGCGTGCAACATTTTATACATTTTATTAAGAAAACAAGATGAAATGCAATTTTCGTCTCTATAGAAGCCCCGTAAAGTTACAATTTCGCACATGTTTGTGTTATAATATTTATGACTCATTGAGTCTTTCTTTCTCTAATAATAAGTTTAAAATCCTTAACGAATCAAAAACTGAAAAAGATCTTTCAGTTAAAAATGAATGACAACACCTTATTGAACTATCACGGGATCTAAGGTATTAATGTTAAATACAAAAAGTTAGTTTACTGGGCTCTATATACCTTGAGGATTTTTTTCTCTACTCTTTTTTTTTTTATAAGAAGATATGTCTGTTGAAATAAGATAAAAAAAGGTCTAAATATTTATCTAGTTATTTTTTTAAAAAAAAATCGATTATAAAACAAATAATTTTTCTTTAACTTCATCTAGATCGAACTAATAGTTTAATCATTTTTATATATTTATTAGATATAAGTACCATTATCTGTAGATTGTCTACAATAATAATTTAGTTAAATTTCAATTATTATAATTATTATGGTATAATCTCTGTAATGAAGTTTTTATAATAAATAAACACAGGTATTCTGAACATCTAGGTCTAGATTCATTATAATGAGGCTAATATGTTTGAATTTATATTTGAATGTCTTTATTTAACTCATTGGTTTCATAAGTAGTTAATTTTGAAAATTAAGTTTACTTAAATTATAAATTTTAGTATTGCTACTTTTGTATTCACATTTGGTATTTTATTTAGTGCAATATTTTGCAGTTTTATATACTATTTATTTTTATTATAATGGTTCTACCAATAAATCATGATGTATTCCTTATTCCAACCCAATTCTATATCTTAAAGTTTATAAAGAATATCATATAGTAGTTGATCATCTTCAGAAAAAGTAGTATGAGTGAGCAATCTGAAAAGAATTTTTTTCATATTGTTACTTAGTGTTCTATGTATTCCCTTAGTGGGAGATAAATTCATTTCATTATTAATAGTTTTATTACTATTATCACTATTTATAATGTTAATTTTTTTTTCTTTTTATCATTATCACTATTTAACAAACTTGACAACTTGTATACATTTACATTACAACTTCTCTAGTCTTTAACAACTTTTTTCTCAGTTTTCAAAATTTCCTGATTATAGATTGAATTTAATCTTTTTATATCTTCAGTATAACATGTTGTAATGAGGGAAAGCCCTACTTCATTTATTTCTTTTGAATTCTTAAAAAGTTCATAAGCTATTAGATTTAATAGTTGAAACTTGATAGTTAAATTATTAGCAAGTTTCTATACAGTTTCTTTATGAGATTGCATATTATGATCTTTACTAGTTGTAACTAAGTCTCCTATATATTCTAATAAAAGTATTTGTATTCTATTTCTTTCAGATTAAACAGAAGATATTTGTAGCTTGAGTTGTTCTTTGTTTATTATATTTGCTTTGATATTTTGTTTAATAAATTTAACTCTGAAAACTTCTAATGCTTCATCAAAAGCAAAATAATAGCTAAAACATATAAGATTTATTGAACATATCTGATAAAATAATTGTTGTAATTAAGGATTTTTATAAACTTAAGCTAGAAAATAAGTAGTTGATCATTCATAATTACTTTTACTACAAACTATAAAAAGAGATGCAAATGCTGAAAGTGAATAAAATTGTAGATTATTATTAGCACTTCTTATTCCTATTTTGTGATTTATTATATAACTCATTTAATAAAAATATAGAAACTAAACTTTTACAATATTATTATTTTTTTCAATGTTATTTATTGTTTTATTTAAATTTTAATTTTTTAAATATTTAGTTAAAGCAATTCCTACTGCTATTCAAACAGCTCTAAAACATGGAATATAGCATTATAATTAATAACTTTTTTCAACTTATTTAAATTCTTAGTATCAAGTTCTGTTACCAAACTAAAAATCTCATACTCAGAAAAAATTTTAATTAAAGTACTATATATAGCTTATGATATGTACTATTGGCCTAAGATCAATTATATTGGTTTGTCCTTTTTTGAATTATGATATGATATTAGTTAGCAATAGATTGCTTTATCAGATACAATATCTAAATATTTACTTTCTAAAAATTAAAAATCTTTAAAATATAACTCACATAAATTATAAATATTCAAATTACAGTTCAGTTCTTCACCTAGTATAAGGATTATAAAATTTGGAGTATTAACTTGATATCCTAAAGATATATTCTTAATGAGCTTATAATAAATATCATTAATATCTAAATTGTTTGAGCATAATTCTACAAGTTGACTAAATATATTTTTATATTTAATATATTAATTTTTTACAAAATCTGATTCACTGAATAAAATATTGTTATTATTATTATTATTTAAGAATTTAATAAGTATAAGTAAAGTAAATTGAAAAACTATTCTTAGTATAGTATAAAAAGTATTATAGGAATTATTGAAAATATTTTCAAACTTAAAAGAATTTTCTTTAAAGTCAATATTATTGATAACATATATTGACCAAATATTTGAATCTTTTAAAAGTTTTAGATTCAGATTTGCTTATAACATTCTATATTTTTCTAATCTCTATTCATATTTTTGTATATGAGATATAATATTTGTAGTATACAAAATACTATAAAGTAAAATTGATAATTAGAATTTTTATATTAAAGAACTTATGATATAAATAAGCCAAATATCTGTTGTCAAGAAAGCAATAGTAAGTATTACAGAAATAAAAAATATAGATATTTTTTCAACCTGACCTTTATCAAAAGCTTTTAATCTAATTTCCTTTAGTCTCACTTTTTAACAACTATATTATATTTTTTTTTTTGTAATATAGTAATTAATCTATTAAAAAAGCTAGAAAGATAACTTAGAAAAACTGATTAATATTCATTTAATAAATTTGGCTTTTTAAGAATTTCTTTATTTTTACATACTTCATCTCAAGATTTTCATATAATATTTCTCAAACTTTCTTCTAATTCTTTTGATGAATTATATGTTGTTGACATATAAAATATTAAAAAAAAACACAAATTCTTTAATAACTTTTGATTTACTAGTCCAAATTGGATAAAATATATACTATTAGAATTAGCTCACTGAAACAGTTCTAATGAGTCAAGAATCATCAAAATGCAATTACTGAATCTCAAAATAATCAAAATTTGGCTTTTTATTATAATCTGTATAATCTGTTTAGCTTATAATTACTGTAGGAGATGCATTATATATAATTCATTTATTACCTATAGTTTTTGAGATACTTTTATTATTTATTATATATATAATATCTATAACTCCTGTAATATATATAGCTTGTTACATTTCTAATATTTTAAAAAGTATAAAAACAGCACATGTGAACTTTGATTTTATTATCAAATCTTCATACTCTTTCACAATAAAAGTATCTTTCTGATACTTTAAAATAAATATTTATTAATATCTTCATATATCTTTAATTATTGCTTCTTTCATAATTGTAAATTACTCTAAATCTTCTTTGTTAAGTTTTATAAAAATGTTTTAAAGATTTTGACAAAATATAGTAACAAGAATATTACGCAAAGTATTTTCTGTTATTAGTCTCTCTAGTTAGTTGTTCTCTCTAAAGAAGTAGAAGCAATATAACAAATTAGTAGTAACTATAAGATACCTTCTCAAACTCTACAAATATAAAGAAAAAACCTAAAGACAAGTTTATTATAAAAATTACTAGTTGTTACTAAGACAAGTCAAACAATTTATATCCAATTGAGCTAAAATTTTGAGAATATACCTAAAAAACAATTTTGTAACTTTTCTACTAAGCTTATCTTAGAGTGAAAACCTTTTTAAACCTTTTAAAAAGCTCTTCTAGAACTCTCTTTCCAAGAAATAACAAGAGAAATTCTTAATCTGAATACTTAGAAGAGATATTAACATACCTAAAATACTAGCATATATTGAAAACATACTTACTCTCAAGGTTCTAATATATAAAAAGTATTTAGAAAAAGAATTAGAAAAACTTGTTAACTCAACTGAGCAAGAGAATAGTATTTTTTTCTTTTCTTTAAAAACCTTAAAATTAGCTAACTTATATTATACAAAACTAAAACAAACACAAGTTTTTGATCTTAAAAGTCATTCTTTTTCATATTTTTTATTAATTTCCTATGAGCCAAAGTGTAGGTATAAGAAATAATTTTATTAAATTTTAGATGAAAATAATTATTCTCTGTTGCTACTAAGAAAGTCTATAAATTTTAATTATTTGACTTCAAATTTTTATTCTATATTCTTAAATACCTGGTGCATCTTTTATACTAAGCTATATCTTAGTAGAAAATCCTTATAGAACTTGATATCTT